AATAAAAACCCTCAACAATAGTTTTTCTCAAATATACATATTCATGTACATTCTACGATCAATTACACTTTTATTATATGTATAGAAGATGTATATAAGAAAATATATTATAATATATTTTGTATGTATAACTAGATCAATTCAAAAATTATCAAAAGCTAATAAATAGTAATGCAGGTTTAGTAAATTTGTATTTCATACTTCTGTATACTATAAGTATATATATTTTTAAAGCACGTAACGCACAAGAAAAGTTTATTCGTTCATACATAAAATTCATTACATATCTTACGATGTAAATCTCATTTTCCAATTAGAAACTCTTAGTATATGTTAAAATATAACCGCAAAAAGTAATATCTATTGAGCTATTTTAAATTCATTGAGGCCAAACATTGTTGCACCTCACACGTACGTATTTATGTCTGACAATGTAGTCTATCGAGTACAGCGTGTGAATCAGAGCGCGTCTTAAAAGGATGGTCTCCGTTTAATACTGTTTTATCTAAAACATCCTATAGGTTTTGAGAAAATCTCGTATATTTTTTTAAATTTAGTATTTAATTTTCATGTTAGCACTTTGTATCTTTGCCATAAAACATGTAATATTCATTGCATGCATTTGTCTTAATTTTATATTTTTTTTGCAATATATTAATAAATTTTGTATGTGTTTTTATGTTAGTTGCTCTTTCACGATAAAATGGCCGGACGAATATGGATGAAGTTTAGTACGCTATAACTTGATGTAACACAATTGTCAGTATAAAAATTGCCAAAAAGTGGTTCTTTCTGTCTATATTATCTGTCTATTATAAATACAAAAACCTGATAAACTCGATCGAAGCGAGGGTAAGTCGTTAGTATCTTATAAAACATACATTCTATTGTCACGCAGGAATAATTTTGCAAAAGAAATAAAATAGAAACACTTCCGATGTTTATTTTCTGTAAGAATCTCTCAAATGTGAATCCTTTATATTTGAATAGATTTCTATTCGAATATCGTAAATAAATAGCATTTTTACAGAGAACTTTTCTTTCATCGAATTTAGTACAATATTTAATATTCATACTATATACTATAGAATTATAAATATGAAAGTGTGTTTGTTTGTTTGTCCTTCTTTCATGTCGAAATAGAGTGACGGATTGGCGTGATTTTTTTGTGTGGAGATAGTTGGAGGGTTGGAGAGTGACATAGGCTACTTTAAGGAGATTATCTCATTTTCACGAAAAAACACGTTACAATACAACCTACAACTACTCATCATATCTATGTATATATATATATATATATATATATATATATATATATATATATATATATATATATATTCCATACTAACCTACGACGTACCTAGGGACGAACCCGAGCGAACCGAAGCTGAGCCAGTAGTTCCATATAATTAAGTACTAAAAGACATAGAGCTTTAATGTGAAAATGAAAATATATACAATTTTTTACTATTCAATTTGTGTATCCTGATTCAGGCACGACTGGCCGCTTGCCAAACTTTCACTTATACTGTAAATGCATTGGAATTATTGCGAATAGGTTACAAATAGAAACTGCCGGGCCCAAGGGTTAAGAGGGTAAACGAAATTTACGTTCAAATAACAGATTGAGAAATGCTGACCCAAATATTGTGGCCGACGTAAATTTTGTATAAATAATTCTGGACTATAAGAAAGTTAAAGTGGCTTTTTAGATTTTCAAAGATTTCTTCGTAAATAAAGATATTTTGTAATAAGTAAATTCGTCATTTATTTTCTACTAAATATTAACTTAATTATTTTTGATACATTGTTTATTAAATAATGGAAATAAGTATAAATCCGCCTTAAGTTTAAACCTAGGTATAGAGTAGATATACCTACACCACTCATCTAAGATGCATTTAAAAAAAACCGCGATACCGTTTTAAACAAACCAAAATAAAAAAAATTGTGATAAAAACAGTAAGGAGAGAAACGATAAGTAACTAGTTCAATAATATATTTTAGTTTGTTTACACTAAAACTTCAAACAGTTTAAATGAAATGATTGCGAACACGATACGAAACCGAACGTGGTCACGTTTTGATTTACTTCCATGATGCAATTTCCGCTCTATAGAAAATCGAGCTGTCAGCGACGCAAATATCTATTTTAATTTTATTTAAACTCTTTTAGTTACTAGATATATTTATGTATTCAGCCTTTTTTAACGATCCACAGCTGGGCACGGACCTCTCTTCAATATGAAGGAGATCAGGCCATAGTCCACCACGCTGGCCAAGTGCGAGTTGGCAGATTTCATATGTCTTTCGCAACTTACAGATTCTCTCAAACATCCAGATTTCATCACGATGTTTTTCTTCACCATAAGACAAGTGGTAATCATGTTGGAGATAAATAATGATGGTCCACCCCAAAAAATATTGTTTGGACAAAAAAAATTTTTTTTAATGATTGGGCAATAAAAAATACGTACAAAAGTAAATTTAAGTCGCTAATTATAATATAATTTTCAATATTATTATATTTTTTTACATTCCACTTATAAATTCTAATTGGAATAAAAGACGGGTATTGACCTTACGGTCGCTTCCTCTCTTTGTCAATTTCATGACAGTATTGCGCAGCCTATTCTCACGTCTATGGTCAAACCGCATCTAATGAACCTAAATCTGAAGGTTTTACTAGTAACCATTGGAGAGTTAAACTAGATAATAAAAGCGTGTTAAAATAAATAATAGTTCTAGTTTTTTCTTCTAGTTAAAAATCAATTTAGTAAAACAGACCCAAATCTGTACACGATGTCATATGTATGAATAGGCTTTAAAAATCCAAAATTTGCGAAATGATTTAGGCAAAGATACTTAAATAACATTATACGAGTATTTTATCATTCAAAAGATAAATTACGATAGACATCCCACCAGTGTGGGCAAAAAGAAATTTTGAATGTTAATTTTACAGAACATATATCATGGAAAATTAAATGGCTTTCTTTATCAATTGGTAAAATAACATTTCATTGGTGATAGAATTTTATTATGAAAAATGTTACCGCGTCTTTACAACATTTCTATTATTCTATAAACTAGCATTGCCCGCGGCTCCGCCCGCGTTCAGATGACCAAAAACTAAATTCTTAGGTGTTACATATTAGTATACTCTTACATTGCAGTTTTTGTATTTTTCCTCAGAAATAAGATATTTTCCCGCGGTAAAAAGTATCCTAGGATCGCGCGCTACATCGCCCGGTTTATATAGCTTGAGCAGGCGGTCGAGCGATGCGGGGCAGAGGGGATGGACTCGCCGTAGGCATCTCAATGCTCGCCAAGCATTAAAAATGTTTCGCTACTAATTACTTCTAACAACGATATCTCAAAAACTATTCATCTGATTGATTTAGTGTAAAGAGCAATTTTAATCTGCATTAAATGACTAAGCTAACTAAAATATTCATTTGGATAAGGATTAATACCGAACTAAAGAAAATAACTTTGAAAATAACGTAATGTTTTTAATTAAAAATGTTAACATAAAAGTGGTTATTGTAAGTCAACCGTAAGAGATAGAGATATGCTATCGCGGACTTTTTTGTAGCATTTTTATAGATTTTGAATTCTCTAGTACATTACTTAACTGTATCTTTGCTAGTTTACGCGGCGTTCGCGTGGAAAGTTCCCATTTGGCGAGATTTTTTGCGACCTCTTCAACATTTGTCGCCGTATTTCAGCTAATTTACATAAAAGCATAATAAATTATATACCTAAACCTTCCTCAAGAATTACTCTTTCTATTGTTGAAAACCGTATAAAAATCCGTTCAGTAGTTTTCGAGTTTATCGCGTACAGACAGACAGGAGGACAGAAAGACGCGGCCGGGGGACTTATTTTTATAATAAGTATAGATATTGTACTATATCATTTTTACTAATTTGATCTTATGAATCTTGATGAGAAACGTCAATTACATGATAAATATATCACGCGTTGTGACGTTTTATGGTTTGTACATAAATTCACTTCTTATTACTACTAAGGTCACTAGTTCTACACCCGCTTGGAGCAAATAGGTACCTACTTGGTTTATCCAAATGCCTAGAGAAAACAATCCCCCGTTAAATTAATAAGCACGAGTTATACTTACTACCTATATGTATTATATATATATATATATATATATATATAGATATAGATATATATAAGAAAATAGTAAAATTTAGAAAACTTAGAGATAATCACATCGAGCTATCGTGATGTAACAAACAGACGGACAGACCAAATTTAAAAACTATTTATAATACTCTCTATATCCTTAACGTCTCAAAACTCAAAAGCACAAATATTAAATGTTAACACCTTTCCAATTTCGTTATGTTATATTATTTGTAACATAAACTGTTAAACAAATTCAAAGCAATTTGTTTTGAACGTCACATAGTAATATCAACAAAAATGAATATACGAAAACCTATTTCCTAATCAGCGTTAAGTAGATTGCGGTAAATTCAATTACATTTTGCGTCGTAATATGATTACTAATGCCATAATTTGAATAGGTCTCTTATGAATCTTAATTATATTTAAGAAGCATGCTTGAAAACACTTCTGAATCATAGCTTATTATACATGTACGTGTACGGGTGTGTACGGGTGCTCTTTATGTACACAAACTCACGTAACTGCTCGGTGGTGTAGTTGCTAGCATGTACAGCTGCACACCCGGAGGTCCTGGGTTCGAGTCCCGGATGGGGCCAAGTTTAGTTATTGAGTCTTTCTGTATAGTAAGCCTCAGTAACAGCCCGGAGTTGGGAAGTTGGCGGTGTCTCATCCCCGTGCTTCGGAGAGCACGTAAAGCCGTCGGTCCTGCGCCTTAACTCTTCACCGGTCATGTCGAGTAGTCGTCCCACCGGAATATGAGAGTGACAGGAATAGAGAGTGCACGTTGTGTCTGCGCGTACACTTGTGCACTATAATATCTCCTGCGCAGTTGGCTAGTCTCAATGAGATTGGCCGCCGTGGCCGGAATCTGTCAGGACAACATCATCAAGTACACAACAATAAAAGTCTTCTATATAAATAAAAATGAAACATTGGTAAGCGCATCGTTTGAAAACAGCCGACGGATTCGGCACTTTTTTCTAAATTGAGAGTGTGAGTCCGAATAAATTTTTTAGGCAAAAAAATTCGAATAGTTCCCTAGAAAAACAGAAAATTTCGGGAAGAACGGAAAATGTTTTTTTTTTCTACTGAATTTTTAAATGAACGAGAATTTTATTGGACAGGACAACTTCTGTCGAGCTAGTACTGAATAACAATGAATATTGTCTATAATTTTTTGTTCGGAGTTGAATAGTTGTTCGGAGCGCGACTTTACGTGGAATGTTTGCAAAAAATATTAAACTAAGCCAAGCATTATTTTGCCTAAACAAACATAATTTTACTATTACTGTTTATTTGATCAGATCGCATGTTTGATTTCCGTCCAAAAACGAATATTGACATATCCATAAGTATTACTAAGTAAAATTCGTAATAGCGGACCCAGTAGGCAGATGTTGTCCTCCCAAAAACCTATTTGTTTGGAAAATTAAAAAAAATATCCTAAATTATCTAAATAGAAGAAAAACACCGTGAAGTAACCTGCATGTCTGAGAAAACCTAGCAAGTTTTTGACAAACATGTGAAGTCCACCAACCCGCCCTTGGATAGTGTAATCATAATCCATCATGGTCTGATTCTGGCATTTAAGGGAAGACTGTGCCCAGCAGTGGGATGTTGAAAATACAATACCGTATTTGCGGAAACGTAGAGTATAGTTGTCTGTAGAGTGTTAACATTGGTTAGCCCTGATGACGTAACATGAGATCAAAACTACGGATCAAGTATCAACTATGTATAATTTACAGTCAAGGCTACTAGCAAAGGACTGGCAGGAAATAGGTGCAGTTTGTGATTTGTGATTCACTAAATTGCATTTACATGTTTTATTTATTTATATTTAAGCGTTATTGTATGCAAAAAACAAGGGCTACGGATGTCTCTATGTACGGCTTTTCCTTTTATTATCTATGCATTTATACTTTATAATGATCACATTATATTGTTTAAGCTTTAAAGTATTATTCAACTATTCATCATATTAAAAAGTACTTATATTATCTTAACGTTAGTTTATTCTGGATGTTATTTTAACTTAATTAACGTGATATAATTTTTACTCTATCCCAAAAATGTTCACTTTCATGAAAAAAAGCACAGCCTTATGTTTTAAAATAAAACTAGAAGCAAATTCCATTTTAATTCCTCCACGACCGCGGATACGCCGGCGTTACAGTTAACAATAGATGTTAGAAATTTAATTAATTTCTTAGAAATTTACCTGGAGGTGTTAATTTATAATGTAGAAATCGAACTACATACTAAAAATATAACTAGGTGATACATATAAATATTACAATTATATTTGCTTTAAAAAATCATTACATGATACAATCGCAGCAACATAAAAGATTTTCCAAAGTAGCACAAACAGTACACAAAACGTCCATACAGTGTAGCGTCCAGAGAGTAATATTAGAGTTCATTTAAACTGGCGAGGGTTTTAAAAGGCTTTTCCTGTTGAGATTTGACTTTAAATTAAAAAGCAAAGGCTTTGTTTTATTCGGCCTTCGTGTATTTTACACGTCCGTGGTGGTATTTATGTGACATTTGATTACTTGTTCAACTCGCTTACAATTGGCATGTTGTTTTGTTTATAAAAATATATAAGAAAAGAAAAATAATATAAAAATAAATTTGTTTGTTTTTTTACGGATCAACTCAGTAATTGCATAGAATTGGGGCAATAATGGCAAAGGCTTTTTCTGCCAGTACATTAAGTTGTTCTCGTGAGGTATTAGCATATTGAACAAAGTTAATGAATATCGCCTGGGAGGTAGGAAGAATTTGAGTGAAGGTAGAAGAGCAATCTAGTAACGTTTTTTATATTTTATTCTTACGAAATTAAAAATAAACATGCACTTATAGCATGTTAGGTACAAGCCAAGTTTTGTAAAATCAATAACTATGTAAATCAAAATTGAAAATATTTAATCAAATTATTATTATATATGCAAGAATTTTTAATATAGAGCTGTTTGATTGGAAAATTTAGGGATTTCAATAACAAGCAATATTACTTTTCAGTATAAAGCCTCTTGATGGTAATTTATTACAAAATAAACCTTTGTCGTCCTCAAATAACGCTCGTATAAATTTAAAATATACATTTTTAGTATATCTTGTCGAAGAAGGAGTAAAAAGGCGACATTTCACTTATATTACGCGAAATTTTCTTTTAATGAATAAGTAGAAAATTTATTTAATAAGCGTAATCGACTCTAACTCTATAATTTTTAAGTTTACTTTGGAATAACACTATAAGGTTGCATTAAGGAACCAGGTTAAGGGCTCTACATTACGTATGCATTTTAGATATTCCACTAACTGAACTTTAAAAAGCTGGGAATTAGAAAGAAGTGCCTTTTTATTACTCATGTGTGTTAATTATAATTTGTGTGTATCTGTTTGAATGTTACTCCTTACATGCTTCGCTATGATGTAAATATATATATATATATATATATATATATATATATATATATATATATATATATATATATATATCTTGACTGCTGTGAGATTACATACAAAAAAATAAAATTCAATATTACGGAAGCTGTAAATAGTTATAAATATTATTTATATAGGTAAATTAATATCATAAAGAAGTAAAGTTAGAAAGATATAAAAATGAAAATAAATCATGACTTGCGCAAAGGTATCTCGTTTTTGATATTTATTTTAAGACAAATACGCTATTGTAATTTTAGCCCTTCAGCTCTAAGGGTTTGGTCTAGGCATTTACGAATCTGACAGTCTGATATGTAAATGTATGTATTCAGCCCTTTTTAACGTCCCACTGCTGGGCACGGGCCTCCCTTCAGCACGAGGGGAATCAGGCCATAGTCCACCACGCTGGCCAAGTGCGGGTTGGTGGACTTCACATGTCTTTTGAAAACTTGCTAGATTCTCTCAGACATGCAGGTTTCCTCACGATGTTTTCCTTCACCGTTAAGACAAGTGGTAATCATGTTGGAAATGATTCGCACATGAAAATATCAGAGGTACGAGACCCGGGATTTGAACTCACTTCATTCGGTTTCCCAAGCGAGCGCGTTACCACTGGGCTACCACTGCCTTGTAAATGTATTTGCATAGCTAATGAATGATAATTTAGGTACATATAATAAAATTGTAACTAACCCGAATCTGTACATTAAATATTTTTTTTGGAAAATCTTATTGAAATAAACATTATTATCGATACAGAGGCCGAATCTATAGTTTTTAGAATTTTTGTCTGTCTGTCTGTTAACGCATCACAGAAAAACCACTGGAGAGATTTTGATGAAATTTGGGATAGTGATACTGCTTATTCGGGTCAATATATAGGATACTTTTTACCGCGGGAAAATATCTCATTTCTGAAAAAAAAAATACAAAAACTGCAATAGATAAGAGCTAATACTAATATGTAAAACCTAAGAATTTGGTTTTTGGTCATCTGAACGCCGCCATCTGGAGCCGCGGGCAATGCTAGTAGATAATATTTCAAATTGAGTACTTAGCCTTGTTAGATTGAATTAAAAAGTAATCGACATTCGCATTCCTCAAACTCGAAATTGCATATGTCAAATTCGCCATCTCATTTTGCTTCCTGCACCCTGCGCCCTTGAGAACAAGTTACATTCGCGATCCGAGCGTCATGTACAGATAAGTATAAAAGATGGCAAAATTGTATTGACATCAATCAGTAGCTTTCGAGCAGTCTAAAAGAAGTGCACGATGAGATTTCTGGTAGGTCTCTTTTACTTGTTATTAATATTATCTAGCTTTAACATTAAAAGTTGCACGAGTTTTATTTAAAAAATCATTAAGTAAATATTATTGTGTTTTGTATCGGAAATGTGTCTCGCAGCTATGTGTAATTTCACTTGCTTCAAATTGAAATGATCTATATACTTTAGATGAATTCAATAATTTCATAAATAGATGTATTTCATACATAACGACCTAATAACAACGATGTTCACAGATTGTAGCCACCGCCGTCTTCGCGTGCGCCTGCGCCGCACCTAGCGCCCTGCTGTCCAATGGCATTCTTGCCTATGGCGCATACCCTGTAGCCTCCGTCAACTCTGGAGACCTTCAGGCTGCTGCTATCGACACTAACGTTGCAATTACCGATCACGCTCGTGCCGCAGTGGATGCTGTGCAGGAAATCAACGATCAAGCCGCTGAGATCCACGGTAAAGCTATCAATGCTGCAGAAGATAACGCTTGGCAAGCAGTGAACGCTGCACAGGTAGCCGCTGCTCAGGTTGATGGAGCCGTAGCGAGTGTGTCACCTGATGCAGCTCGTCACGCAGTCGCTCCCGTCGCTTACTCAGTACCAGCCGTCTCATATGCTGCCTCGTTATCTCCTGCTCTCTCCGCCTACTCTGCCCCCTTCATCGGAGCCCGCTCCATCGCTCTCCAAGGTTATGCTCATAACCCAGCCTTCGCTTACGCCGCTCGTGGTCTCGTGTACGCGTAAATGAAATAACAACCAAGTGCAGTCAAAACGAAGATGTGTAAATAAATAACATTAGATATTCCAACTTCTTTTATTTTTGAATTAGGATTCTTTCCTGCATCAGTTCATAAATTGTATCCATAAGCGTAATAATTTTAAAGAATCTGTGATAAAATATCTGTTAGCAAATATTAATTCAAATACAAAATAATAATGCCAATTTCAGTCGTGTCAGTATTGAAAAACCATTTAGTAAGTAGACTATAGGTACATATTACAATAATATAAAAAAATCCTCTTAGGTACCTATAGCGATGCTTATTTATTAAAGTTTTTTCAGATATAAATGTAATTCATATACTTTACTATATTACTATATATATCGATATTGTAATATCGAGTATAACAAATACTATTTGTAATAACGAGGTTTTTTTTTAATATTTTGTTTAGTAAAGGGCAAAGAGATTACAGTTAGTAATAAATTCAAATTTATACTTGAACATTAACGTCATTTACAACGTTATAAACTTTTTCATTCAAACCCATAATTTCGTTAATAAACAAGCGCCAGTGAATTAAAATTTATAAGCTGTTTAAGCTTTGGACGGTAATCCTCTTGAAATTTGTTTTTCTTAAATATTGCAGCCATTTTGAACGTTTGACAGTGATTTGTGTTCTTAATTAACAAAAAAGTTAGTTAATAATGAGTTAATAAATTATGTATTTAACTTAAGTTTAAAATTAACAATTAAGTCCGTTTAAACGAAAACAGAAAAAAACATGCTTTTGGCCATATGTAATAAAGGAAATAAGTGAAAATGAATCAAATAGTAGGGGAGCCCCTACTGAGTACTTTCACCACAATATAAGTCTTCTATATAAAGGGGCGCGTCTAGGGAAGCCGATTAAAATATTTAAAAAATGTTTTGATAAGGTAAAAAAGGCCGAAGAGGCAAATCGACTATCATTGGATCATTTAGAAAAATTTTGGTAATGGCACCGAAATACCTTACAATAAAAATCCGAAAAGATAAATTCATTTAAAATATCAAATATTCAGGTAAATCTAAGAAAGTAATACAAGTGAAGCAATATAATAAAAGCGTGTAACAAACATAAAGCACTACACTGACGGCTGCGATTTAAATAAAATAATACTATATAGAGACATCAATTAAACGTAGTTGCCATTTTAAGTCCTAGAGGTTCTACCGAACTGCATTTTTTTAATGTGTTTTTCAATACCTTGACTTTTATAAAACTCGTTTCATTTAATTGGTATGTACATATTATATATATATATATATATATATATATATATATATATATATATATATATGTCTGTTAGTAATACTTACTTTCTTAGATATAATCGCAAATATTTGACATTTTAAATATAACTTTTTTCGGATTTTTACGCGGATTTATTTTGGTATTTGGTTCCCGACGTGTTAAATTCCCATAGCAATCATGCTTTACAGTGTCTCCCGTGATTGCTGTAAAGTAAACCGAAACGTCGAGAGCCAAAAATCTACATAGATTCTTGAAATAAGTTTTGTTTAAAAAAAAAAACATAAAACTATGGATTCGGCCTCTATATCGATAATAATGACTATTTCAATAAGATTTTCCAAAAAATATTTAATGTACAGATTCGACTCAGAATTTTTTTATGTGTATAGACTATAGATAGTACCTAAATCTTAAATTACAGTGCTATGTCAATAAGTTACACATATTGTCTATGTTATTCATAGTGTTTAAGGAAGTCCTATTCTAAAGTTCCATAGTGTTCTGTCATCGGAATAAAATTCTAATATATGGTAACCAAGGTAAAATGCGGAAGCATAACATGCCATAAATACTTTTGAACTAAAAAGGCATATATCACGTTAAAAAGAATGCTCCACCTTTTAGTAGTGGAATATTTTGGAAAAACAGTATCAAATCAAGCCCACTATAGTCAAGATTGACTATCCATTTTGCACAATTGCATTGCTATCCAGTTAATTTAATAAGATTAAAGATACTACTTGTTTATGGTAATCATGTTGGAAATGATTCGCGCATGAAAATATCAGTGGTGCGACACCTGGGATTTGAACCCGCTTTACTCGGTTTCTACTACATATCTATCTATACACTGGGCTATCACTTTCTCTAACACTTGTCTTATGTCTTACAAATAGGAAACCTGCATATCTGAGAGAACCTGCTAGATCCTCTCAGGTTTTCTGGAGATATGTGAAGTCCACCCTGCAGTTGGCCAGCGTGGTGGACTATGGCCTGATCGCCCTCGTACTGAAGGGAGGTCGATGCCCAGCAGTGGGGCCTCATAAAAGGTTGAATACAACTAATATTTGTATATAATATTCATTATTTTTGTAACCTCATACTGTGATGTGATACCTATATTTATTTGGAGTAAATAAATATTTCTTTCTAAATTAAAAGATCGACACTAGATGTAGTTCTAGATACTATTAAGTATTGTATAGTTACTCATAGCCCACTACACTACGACTATAAAACATTGCATGTAGTTTTGTTACGCTACGCAACGTATCAGATGTGGCACGAGAGAGACAGTTGTATTACCTCTCAAAGGATAGAAAAGGATGGAAAAGAGTAAATATTTTATGAAAATCATCAAAATATTTAGATGGCTATTTAACTATAACGAACTTTGATAAGTGAAGCAGTGTTTAGATTCTTATCTATACAGATAAATAAAATTGAAGTGTCTGTTTGTAATGTCAAAATAACAGCTTTTTACTGAATGCATATTAAATTATTACATATGGTGCCTACTTATAAGAAAAACACAATTTTTAAAATGTTTGTCTGTCTGTTTGTTTCGGCTAATCTCCGAAACGGCTGTACTGATTTTGAAGGGACTTTCACTGACAGATAGCTGAAGTTATAATGGGTAACTTAACTTTATTTTAGAAAAAAATAGGGTTCCGCTCAAAAAATTAAAACATAGAAAAGCGAGGATAAGTCCCTAGTGACTAATAAAATGCTATATCGGTACGAGTCTATTACAATGAATATATTTGTCATGAATTATATATATATTTATTTGTATTAATTTAAAGTGGTTAAAAAAATAAAAGCATTTTTATATTTGCAATTTTTATTTTAAAAGTTTTTAAGGACACACATAATTTATTATTTTAGTTTAATTAATATTATTTATAAATCAATTACACTCTACTACGATAGTTAATATTAACCTATTTATCTAAATATTTGCCCCCACCGTGAATCGACTCTACGAACTAGAAGTACTAGAAAAAACAGATGTAACCACTGTGCCAGAGAAAACTATTTCAAATGAATCAAGTATACCCTTAAAACAATTGAATTAAATAGAATTGCCTATATAAGACCTATTGTATGTCCAAGTAGTTAAACTGTGATTTATCACTGTCGAAAGCATACGATATATTTTGATAGAGCGGGGACCGAGCAAGCATGGATACTCCATTACTCAGCTTCCTTTGATTTGAAGTAGATTTGTCACTTTGTGAATGACCTACTGTCAAATGTAAATGATATTTGAATAAACAATGACATTGGGAGCAACCATTTCTCATGATAACTTAAGATTTATGTATCTCCATTCGATGGCAAAACCAAACTAAAATGGGTTCTGTTTGTTCATTCAATGGAAAAATGAAATTATAATAGGATAAAATACTTAAAATCGTGATCAATCTTAACCTAACAAATCAATGAAGAACCGATACATAAAAAAATATTGGATACGAAAATTGAAAAGGCGATCACTGTTACACATTATATACACATACATAAATCAATGGAAATGAACCTTTTAAATAAAACTACCGTTCCGAATTTTTTCGCAGATTTACTTTTGTGTATTTTTAAATCCGGAAAGATAGTTTTATTTATAACTAGCGCTTCACTCTCACTCCGCTCGGGTCCCTAGATACGTTTTAACGTTTAGTATAGATTTTTCAGAAATGAGATATTTTCCCGCAATAAAAAATATCCTAAAATCTGTCCAGAGGTTTTCTCGTGATGCGTTCCCAGATAGACAGACAGGAATTCTAAAAACTACAGATTCGATCGCTGTATCGAGCATAATGACTATTTCAATAAGATTTTCCAAAAAATATTTAATGTACAGATTGGACTCGGCTTTAATTTTATTATATGTACAGATATCAAATATTCGCGAAAATCTAAGAAAGTAATAAAACAATACGTGATCTTAGTAAATAGGTTTTTGATGAAAACAATCATTATTAAAATCATCAATAATAGTTAGGAAACTTATTATTGGAATTATTTATTTAAATGCTAAAAATATGCCTTATTAGAATAACTAAGTTTTAATTAAAAAAGCAGTCGTTTAAAAAGACATTAAATGTAATCATTGCACCCATACGAGTGCCTTTTATTCTTAACAAAATATGGGAAGACCTTTGAGTTAAATGTAATACTAATAATATAGGTAAATGTGAAAGTTTGCGATGTTGTATGGATGGATGTTTGTTACTCTTTCACGCTAGAACGGATCTGGATGGAATTTGGCACAGATATAGATTATAGTTTGGAATAGTACATAAGTTACTTTTTACCCCGGAAAAATGTACGGTTCCCGTGGGATATATATATATATATATATATATATATATATATATATATATACTGAAAAATATTCATCAAAAATTAAAATTGTTTCATAATCATCGTTTCAAATCACAATGCGTATTGACGTAGAAATCTAGAAGAAGAAGTAAAATGTAATTATTTTATATATAAATGTTATAACTAGCTCATTACTTTGCCCTACCCTAACACGAACAGCGTTGATATTACGCTTTAATAAATCCTGAAAGTGGGAGGTCTCAAACTCCGGAATCAAATTTCCTTCGCATCGTTAAGGTTGTTATATGATACTTCAGTCCTGTAATTGATTCATCTTATTTACGATCGTCTAGAAGCAGTATATCTAGCGACGTTAGCCTAGATAAGGTCTACAA